TTAAGAAAGGAAAGGAAAAGACATAGATTAAAATTATTCGAAACCTACATAACCAGAACCGGTGGCACCAAATCAGCTTTACGTAAACTAATGACAATCACAATAAATGGAATCAAATCACACATTGTCAGTTGAATGCCAATCCCTACTATTGACCGCTACTGTCCAACTGTACTGGCTAAGTGTGAACAAGATATAATGTGTTTATAAAAATTATAAATAAAATATCTTAAATATGCAGTAGTTCAAACAATTTATAGAAAAATACTGGCAAAGTTTAAGAATTCTTTTTCTATGTAACTGTTCTGTTTTTATAATACAAGGTGGCAAACGAGCAAGCGGCCACCTGAATCCTCCGAAATAGAAAGCGACCGCTGCCCATAAACATCCGCAATAGCAGATACGTTGCCTACCCTTGATTGACGGACGCGGAGACGCACATAAAGAGAACTCTTCCCCTTCCTATGCGTCTCCTCCACCGTCAAATCCACTTTTCCTTCCCATCCTTTTTTCTTAAGAAAACGATGGAAAGGGAAAGGGACTTAAATGAGGAGTCCGGCACCACACTCATCAGACGAAACACAGAATTGCTTCCATTTCACGCCTTTCTTCTGTGTGGTCGTGGTATTACACTGGGTGTGCTGGCCCATTCATGCTAAGATGTTAAAGCGGGCACTACCACTGTTCAAAATGTTGTTCTATTAGGTTAATGACTTAGATCTGACAATTCTCATGTTGATGGCTATAATGTGACGTTGGCCGGAAGCTGAATTATGAGTCACGCTTAGGTCGTACAATCGTCGTTTGAATTGGCACGTCGGGCAGAAGAGTACACCAGTTGCCGACGTGCCAAATTAAATGCTACACAACACATAAAGTGTGAACACATCAGTGTTCCGAACAACAGTAGAAGGGCTAATTGTTCTTCCCCTTTTGTTGACTTTGAATCGGCAAAAAAAAATCGTAACTAAAGTTTATTTTTGTTTTATTCTATCTACTTGCCAGTCGAATAATTAATGAAGTAGTTTAATTGGGTAATCAACCTAAACGACGTTTGTGGCATGTTTAAATAACATTAAGAGACAAGACTCCTTAGAGAGTAGGCGCTGTCTGTATTTTGTAGGGTTCAAATAAAACTGGGTCAAATGTAACTTGGAATAATTATAGTTTCTTAATTACTTATTTACGTCACTAAAGTCTTTTTATTTTTAATGATCTGCTCGTAGGAGTTTTTGAGAGAAGTGCTAATAATAATAGTTTGGGGTACGGATTTCGGATCACGTTGTCAAGGGTTCGAATCACGTCTTTCGATTGCACAAGCATCGAGCCTACTTGAAGTGGTGAAAAATCGGTGAAATAACAAAAAAAATGCCAATATTCATATTAAAGCGTGATAATAACAAATTCCCAGCATACTGGAACGTAATATAAGCATTTAAGAATGACCTTAACATTTATGTATAATAGATTTTATTTATTTAATAGAGTATCAGATGGGAGACCACTCTAGATGCATTCATCTCAGTGACTTTAACACTGCACTCTTCGTATTCATTACAATATCACATTACATTCAATACGCAACATTATATGTTTGTTTATCATTTCAATTGATTTTTGGACTATGTAATCATAAGAATACTTTTTTTTATAAAAATTGCACTTCAAGTGTATATGCACAAGATTAAAAAAATGTCACTGTCTTATTGCATTTTAATAAAATAACCTAACAATTACCAGTAGTGCTCAAACTCAACATCGGCTTTCAACTGACATAATGTCAATAATAACTAGCGCCTGTGACGATATACAGTCTATGCCAGGCCTGTGATCCGACTATTAGCAAAATATAAACCAGGTATTACACCTATCATCTCAAGTCGATTAATAAGACGGTAGTTTTATAAATAAAACAAAGGGGTTAACGATAGTAGAAGTTGTTATGATCAGCGGGTAAACGAGTTGTTATCTGAGACGCAGGCTTTCACTGCTGCCAGGTTACCTTGAGCGACTCGGTAACAATGTCGCGTACGATATTGATTGCGATCCTCCGACTCTATTTACATATTTGAAAGTAATTGCTATTGGAGAGATTCCATGTCGCGAAGTTTCATTGGATACGAAAAGGATATTGTGAAAAAAGTTTGTCGTCTACCATGATACTGTGTGTGGTCGCTTCAACTAATATTAGAACGACTCCTTCGTAGATTATTTATATCTTGAGGCGTTTCTTGTAGATTCAAATGTGATTTATAATCATTCTTATAATTCTCAAATACTGTTTCTCTTGTTTTTGTCAGGAAACTAGTGATTTCAAGCAGTTCTTTCTGTTGGTAATGGTTAACGCTTTTAGTAATCCAACATCAGATATTTGATTTGTACGCGGATATGTGTGTATAGCTTTGTCTGTATGTTTTGTAGTATAATGTGCGTTAACAGTCGAGTTGTAATTCAGTTCACGCGTATACTTTCCATAAGTGGGTGGGAGTGGACGTGAGCCGACTTACCATAAGGACCTTGAATGCCGGGAGAATAAACTTGTATAGTTTTACTTCCGTGTCATCTGTGTTGTGGGATGAGCGATGTCGTAAATCGTGTAATTATAAAACGATTAGGAGTATAGAAGTTGATGCGTTCATCGAACTTGACTTCGCTGCTCAGTGTTAAGGTGCATTTACAAGGAATGTGAATTGGATTTTAGTATACTATTATTAGACGCTTAGATGTACGATACATCGTAAACGTAATTACGAGAGACTAGTGAACCGATGTTTATGCCAGCAACATGAATATCGTATTACGTCGTTTAGGTTTCGTTCAAACGATGGCAAGTTTAGTTTATAAGTAACTTCTTTGTCGAGTTTTTATTACGTCACTCCGTGTCTCACCGCGGGCTGTCTAGCGTGACTATCATTTTATAAATCAGTGTGACTCACTTCGAATCCCGGCTTCGTTCGCGACAATCGCAACGCAACAGCTTGTTTTCCAACTTGACTAGTTTTTACTGGTTGTTAGAGTTGAAAATTGTCAGGCATTTATAGTCAGGCTAGGAGAATACAAATAACAGACTGTTTTTGCATAGTATTTGAGTTATGGTTTGTAATTATGTTAACGGCGGTCGTCATGCGAAATATTTAGGTGTGCGTGACGAGTTGTCTGTCCCCGATCTAACGTAATATTATGAAACTTTTTATTTTGTTGTGGTTTTTATGTTTCAGTTTGAATGTTAGTACTCTCGTTGACAATTAATATTAAATAGCGAGAACGCAGCAATCAATCACGCATCGCGCATTTTTGTGTAGCGCACGCACATCGCGCGGTGAAATTGTAGGCAATACGAAAGTGCTGGTAGATGCATTTAATCATTTTAATAATAGTTATAAAAATAATAATTAAGTAATAATACTAATTTGCATCATGTTGTTTTGTATGAAGTTGCGCACTGTGTGTATGGCTAAGTGAACAGGAATGTCCGTAGGCTGGCGTCCGACCCGCTGTGTAACGGCCTTAATTGATTTAACAAAGTTAAGATGTCCACGGAATGAACTGAGCATAAAGTGCGTTAATTTTCATCTTTGAATTGAATATCTTAGCTTGACTCAAATAATCTCTCATTACTGGGCTCTCTCTCAGTTTGACAAATGATCTTTAAATTTGAATTAACATATCTTAAAGCAATGTTTGACGAAAACTCTAGATAGCCGCTGTTTTTTATACATATCTGAAAAAGCACTTTTGAATTGCAAAAAACAATGCCTTGTGTAGCATTTCTAAGTGGCCTCTACAAACAGAGCATAGTGAAGTGCACGCAATGTAGACTGTCGACGACTTGTGCTCCTTGTTGAGGCGTCAGGTCGTCGCCACGGACGCGCGAAGCCTAATTTGCTGTGTAGCAAATATACTACATACATAGTAGTTTATATTTATATATATTGAGAAGGCAGATATTTTGGATTGTTTATAACTAAAGGGTCTTTTGCAAAGGATTTTTATTCAGCATTTTTTTAAACTGTGTTGAAATTTTTAGTGTACATTCGTACCATGCGTGTCGATATTATTATTGTTTGCAAAAAAATCGTGGCTTTCATATTAATTCAAATACAAACTTGTTCTTGTTTAGAATTGTATTTGCACGACAGAGTGCGTGTATTGTTCTTTGTTTTCCTATAAAGCAATTTCTTGTATGTACTAATTTTTTACCGTAACTTTAACGGCAACTCTCGATACCTTCCAATACGAAGCCAATAGCAAATCCATGATTTTAAGTGTAATTTGCAGTTTATTGACACTTTATAATTAAATTTTGTTATTGCGTCAAACAGCAAAGGCTATCGTCTCCATGTTATTTACGATCAATAATTATTATCAGCGATGTTCAGCAGTCGCTCTGCTCGCCCACACACGTCCCTTTTAGTATATTTATCATTCAAACAAGTAATAACGGAAGTTCTCGACAAAATAAGATTAAATCTGATGAGCCTATGACGCGTTCAGACCTAATTTGTATTTCTTAAACGATATCCGTTGTTTTGTATCTTTAAACTTTAATGGTATGAATTTCGCACAGTGAAACCTATTTACTTCATTAGGTCATTTGCTAAGTCGTGACGCACAAGCCGCGACCTTTGCAAGCACGTCACTACATTGCTATAAAAATATAGTTTTTATGTTATGGATAGATGTTGAGATAGTCCTTAACTTTGTGTTTGAATAGAGAATACGCTAGAGACGTTTCCGAATAACGTTGCTAATAACAAAATAATTATACGGAACGATACTTTTAAAAACTTGGTCGAAAGAATCTGAACGGTAAATGCGAAACAAAATACATTTTATATGCAACAGTTCACACTTTCTCTAATTATTGGACACCAATATCTGTGTAACGGTATTTCGATGAGATTGTTTCAAAAAGTTTACGCAAGAAAATTGATAATAATCGTTTACTGGTATAAATGGACCCTCTCTCGGTCACTTTCCCAGCTTTAAGTAGATAGTTATCGGTAGCTTCTACTTAATGGATGAGACGGCTTAATTGCTGTTCGAGATTTTGTTTATCAACCTGTAAAACATTGTTTAAATATGACTTTGTACCATTCCAAGATATTAGCATAGTTTGTAGATGGATTATGTTATAATAGTCATCTTTAGACATATAAGTACTATTGCATCGTACAGTCAAATACGTTTATTTTCTACCTATATTGACTTGTCACATTAACATGACTATATTTCATGGTTGGAAGTGAATTTAATTCCTTGACTGCGTGTCGTTTGTAATTTGGTGTGTTCTGTGCAGGTGTGCGCGGCAGCAGCGAGCGCGATGTCAAAGAAGCCGGCGGCGCAGCCCACGCTGCACAAGGTGATCATGGTGGGCTCGGGCGGCGTGGGCAAGTCAGCGCTCACGCTGCAGTTTATGTACGACGAGTTTGTCGAGGACTACGAGCCCACAAAGGCCGACAGCTACAGGAAGAAGGTACACATGATCTCAGGCTGCACGACTTTCGTCCTCCTCTCAAAACTGTAGATTCAGTATCCGGTCTTTGCTTTTCCTATCCGACCATTTGATGTCCTTACTGAGTTATTGGTCCTTCGAAGTTTGCGACACCAAAATTGAAGTAAAATTGATATATTGCCTGATGAGCTCAAGTCATTGAGGTAGCAGGAATGTTGAACGTTTTTTCTTCATTTATCGGTGCACAGAGTTTTGTCTTGCTTTGTCAATCTGGACGTGTGTCGAGGCTTGTCGCCGGCCGATCAATCGGTATTGGCGTGTGACACTTTATTGCCCGCTATTGCTTCTAATCAGATCAAACAAGACGATAACGCATGCGATAACGGTCGGTAACAGCTGATAGCGGAGCGCGTGGCTTTGTACAATAAAAACATTCTTCTTTTACAGTAGAAAATTACGAAATTGAATGTTTAGTAATACAGTCGTGCTGGACATGATTTTGAGATCATAATATCTATTAATTTATGAACTATGTGACAGATATGATTTTCAAACAATGGCACATTTTATTTCACTATTAAAAAAAATGCAATTTGAAACTGATTTATTTATTTTTTTATTTTTTATATTGACAATGTGTAGTGAGCATCCGATCTGGTCCTCTGCAGGTGGTGCTGGATGGCGAGGAGGTGCAGATCGACATCCTAGATACAGCGGGACAGGAAGACTACGCGGCCATTAGGGACAATTACTTCCGCTCTGGTGAAGGTTTCCTGTGCGTATTTTCAATCACTGAGCCGGAAAGTTTCGACGCCACGCAGGAGTTTAGGTACAGTGACAAACTACTCTGTGTTCTTTTGAAGCAATTTTTCCTTAGTTCTGTAGCTGATGTGTAATGTAACGGTTGTATATTCCAGGGAGCAGATCCTGCGGGTGAAGAACGACGAGAACATTCCGTTCCTGCTGGTGGGTAACAAGTCTGATTTGGGCGACAAGCGGCGCGTGCCGCTGGACGCGTGCCGCGAGCGCGCGCACGCCTGGCAAGTGCCCTACGTGGAGACCTCCGCCAAGACGCGAGACAACGTCGACAAGGTACGTCCCCATCCCCACTACACGAGCACGCATGACTACCCGCACACACAGAACCCGACACCCTAAACGTAAATATTCTGTACATGTACGAATCACGATTTTAGACGTTCTTGGACGTACTTTTAAGTTGTGAAACGCTTGTGTACGCTGTTACAGCGTTTTTATAAAGCGTGCATTATATGCGCACTCGTGCTGCAAATGCGTAGCTGTATGAGTCAGGAGAATCGTAAATTATTGCACACGGATGACCGTTCCAACGCATAGATGTTTACAGCTGTAACATGCACAAAATAATTTTATACTATTCAGAAAGTATGAGAGAGACAATGATGTTCTCCGGTAGTTTTATGATACGAAGTTATATATATGGTTGAATTCCTTAAAATGTTTTTCACTTCTGGATATAGTGTAGTCGCGATGCACCGAGCTTGTTGGTCGCACAGCTTCTGCCGCGTAATGATCGTGCACTTATTCTTTTTTATTTCTTCCGACACATACTGCTTTAATGTCTACTGAATGCACGAGCATGAAGTATGCGAAAATTAATAGAAACTAAATTAATCACGAAATTGTTGAATTAAAATACTAGAAATTGTGTTTTTAAAGTAATAAAATCCGAAGGAGACTAAGTATGATGGCCCAGAGCTATATACCTAGTCAAGTTCAATGCTGTATTTAACTTTGACTACAGTATAAAATAAAAAATAAAAAAAAACATCGACACAATGCACTTCATGTATCGTTAATTTTGATGTATAAAATACTGTTCGGCGAAATAATATTTACAGATCAACTTTTGGAGTCCTAAAATTATGGTAGTTTTATCTAATATAGCTGATGTATCTATATATAACGGTATATGTTTTGTTGTGTGACTATATGCGGTGAAGGGTTCTGACAATGTGTGCGTTGTGCGCGTGCTGGTGTTGGTGTCGGTGTGTGCTGACCGGGTGCCGTGTCCCGCAGGTGTTCTTTGACCTGATGCGGGAGATCCGCTCGCGCAAGTCGGACGACAGCCGCGCCGCCAACGGCAACGTGCGCGACAAGGTCAAGCGGAGAAAGATCAAATGCGCCATCTTGTAGGCCCCGCCCCGCCCCCGCCCCCGCCACACAGCCGCAGGAGACACGCGCGCCATCTGTATAGATCGTATCTATGACGTTCGCACGTTTTGGTGCTGGTATTTTGTTGAATACTGTTCCTAATGAAGTAGTCTGTGACGTCACGAAGCGCGCAGGAATGTAACGAGCTCATTGCGAACAGAATTCTATAAATATGTTTGTTACGTTATGAAACGTTACGCTTGTGCGTTATTTTGTAATTATATTTAGTGTCTAAATATTTTTTTGATCTGAACAAGAAATGCATAGATGAAGATAGTCTTACATGAAGTGGTAAAATTTGAATGCGATAATATTTTGTGTAAAGATGTACTTTTTCGTTTGATGTTTTAAATTGTCAGTGCAGTGTTGAGGTCCGCTCATTACTCGTTTAGTGTGTAGGGTCGTGGGCAGGTGCGGGCGCGCGCCGCTGCACGGTGACACGGCAGCAGGCTATTGTGTCGTGTCGCTCTGTGTCGGCGCGTGTCCGTCCGCACGTGAACACGTTGTATTTATTACTTAGCTCGTAAGTGCTAATTGTGTATTGGATTGCATTGTGTCTGTGTTTATAGAAATATTTTATTGTCAACAGCTTGAGCTCGGGCACACGAGTAGTGGCCGTGTTCTATGGTCAAAGTTAAAGCATGCCTGTATCGCTAACATATAATTTGTATTTTAATATATTAATAATTTAAATGCACCTGAATAACAAAATATTTCTATAAAACTAGGCAAGCTACCGCGGCGGTGTCCGGGGCCGCGCGAGCCAGCACGCCGCATTGCAGCTCACTTTGTTTGCTTTGTTATTTATGATAATAAGCATAACATTTAAAGTTTGAAAATACGTTATTTTATCGAGAATACCGAAACATGATATGTATTATTTTTTAATATTCCACCAAGGTAATATCGAAATAGATATTTTACATTGCGTGCGCTCGTGCCGTGTCCCGGCGACCGCTCGTTAAGACTTACTGTAGGTGACTGTACTGCGACTGCTTGATATCTGTGTAAATGTTGCCGCTGCCGGGATATGGACCACTGACCTCTATAAATGGACAGGCTAAAGACGTGGTATAATGTGCCACAGATATAAATAACTGTAATTAACATTCTAACGAAGCAATAGCTGTCATTACCAAGGACCAATCTATTTATACAGTTCAGTGGGTGTGGACTGTGTTAGCTGTCTCGCTCACTCATACCACTTAATGAAAAATGATATGATATTCATGAAAACGTCGTTATTGATGGCTGACATAGTCAATAAGTCCTATTCATAGAAATATTAGGAAACAGTACATTTGCCATCTGTTTTATGGTTTTTAATGCAAAATGATTTTATCTTATTTTAATTTTTAAAAAAATATCCTTGTTTTAATTTTAATGATATGTTTTAGAACAGTTTGAATGGAACTATCTATGAATAGGGCGTGATTTAGATATTTAGTTTGCAACATTAATTTAATGTCGGATTTATGTATAAAAAATATTCTACTGATGCAATCGTGGCAGTTTATTTTAAGTATCTTTCACATTCTATCGCCTTTGTTGCATGTTATATTCAAATTATATTTCGTTTGAAATTTAATGTCGGCTTCTCGGCTCTTATTTCATTTCCATAGTTTTAAATATGTTTAGTAATCACTGTACTTCATTATTTATAATACGGAATAATGTATGATTCCTATATGTTAGAAATTGCTAGCAAATATGTAGGATATATGTAAATTTGTACGCATTTTGTGTCTGATAATCTCAAATAAGTCAAGAATTGTACGACCAACGAAAATTCCATAAACAATATTGTATATTTCGTGTCATTGTTTAAAAGAAACTCCATTTTCATAGTAAACTTTTATGATGGGATATTTAATAATTTTTAATATAGAAATATATAATTGTCAAGTAATATAAGTGTATATTTTGAATACAGACATTGTCGCACGCCGCGCATGCATCCGCATAACTGCCAATGAAAACGCAGGTCTTGAATGTTTATAATCTGTACACATTTGACAGCTGTCAGACTGACATACACTTAGCATGGAGCCTTTTTCACTATATTAGGCGTAATTAAATATGTCTTGTGAAGTTCCAGTAGGTCAGAATTGAATATGACACAGAGTTGGGTCATAACTTCGATCTTTAATGGCACTATTAAACTGTAACGTAATCTGTTTTGTACTCAGAGTAGTTCCTAAGTGTTGATGTGTAGAGGCGTGCCATTATCGATTGTTTCTGACCTACCCACTACACCCGGCGAGATGTATAAGTGCGGTGTGTACACTCGAATATTGTGGTAATGGATCGAGCAAAATATACAGATTTACAAAACTAAGCGTCTCATTTGTTAATTAACCATTTTAAATTATTAAGTAATTTTTTAATATAAGTATTGATGATAATTATGGATTCAGGTGAGTTGTTATTAATTTCTCTTACTTTTACGTGTTCAGCCTAATTTAACTTATAATTTACGGGTCTTAAAGTTGTAGTATTAGTAGTTACGGTAGAACCTCGATAAGATTAAAGTCCGAGGGAAACACAAAATATTTTAAGTTATAGACATTTTAAGTTATCAAGGGTCTATGTTGTAGAGATTTTGGGGTCTGATAGGAAGGGAACATATTTTTTGAAGTTATAGAGGTTTTAAAGTTATCGAGGTTCTACTGTATTTCTAAGTAGAGCTCATTGTATGAGATGATTTGAGGAAATTTGAAGTTTAGATTTGGAAATCACGCGCTTTAAAAATTTTAAGGTTTAATCACTTAAAAAATTACTTGAAGCAATTGATTTATTGGTAGACTCGTCTGACAGCCAGACAGAAAGGCTTTAAATATATTTTTTACTTTGTCAGGCGTTCCTGACGCTGATCCGCACGATGTCTCTGCAGAAGAAGGGCCTGTCGGCTGGCGAGGAGCCCGGCGACAAGCGCAAGCAGCTCTGCTCCGTGCCCTGCTGCCGCATCGTGTAGTACACGCCATGTTGCCCACTGTCCGCAGCGATGTACAAACAGCAGTGTTGCTCACTGCGCAGTGTATTCGCAGCGCTGCTTCCTCCGCAGTCGTGACGCAGTACTGAGCGCAGCGCACTGCTCGACCCACTTGTCTACTTTTTCTATTCCTCGACGGTTTTGTTTTATATTGATATCAGTGCTGAGGTCTCCACTTGTTATTATTGGGCTTATTTAACTGGGCTACGTTATAATTAAATTTATTTATTTAAGATAGCAAAAAATTATACTATTTTTTAAGAAAGTGACTATATTTATTAGTTCTTATTGAACATGAATTTTTGAATCAAGTACTGAGGTAAAAAAGATAATCAAGACTACTGTATACTGAGAACGTAGGCCGACGTTGCGCGACCACAGACTACATAAGTACAGGACACATTCCACTGCCCTTTATTGTTACAAAACTTATGTATTATACTTTTCGATTATTGTTAAATGCAGTATTAAGTATTTAAGTTTATTCCTATATTGTAACCGATTATGTAAATAAATGAATTGTACATATAAAAAATGTTTTATTTTCGTCGTTTTATTAAAAATTATAACAAATAAAAAATTTCAGTCTGATTTTTAAACAATACTTAATATATTATTAACAAAGCATACATAACAATTAGATATTGAGTATATTATTATATTTTTAGAAAACTTAATGTACAAATAGCAGTACAGGGCGACTAAATCCTGACTGCAGTTATTAAATAGTTTTGCTTTGTCTTCACATTGTTCCGATTTCGAGAGAGTTAAAGTCACACTTAAAGCCACTAATTGGCCACTTAGGGCGTCTACGTTATTTTCTTTAAAAAATATTGACTCTAAGTGTGACAGCAAGTGCAATTAAGTGGTGAGGCGTGTGGAGATATGGTGTCAGGCGAGTTGGCAGTAGTGTCCGCAGCCGGCGGGGCAGATGCGGTGCTGCTGCATCCAGCTGCGCATGTGCTGCAGGTGTCCGCCGTG